TACAGTGGTGTGAGAGAGAGAGAGCAGGAAGATAATGTTACTGAGCCATGCCATAACATTAATAACATTCTGTTTATTTACTTATGTTGTATTAATTTAATTTACTCACTTATTTTGTAACATTCCATTTACTTTATCCATTGCATGTAACAAACTGTAAAAGGCTTTTATTGTCTCTTCTTTAATTACAGGTCTCACTGATGGGTTTGGGAGGCAGAGATGACATTCCGGACTGATGGGCCATTGAAAGTATGCAAACTGTCAAGAACACAAGACCATAAGAAGTTTCCAAATGACTGCAGATATTTTATGGGTTCCACTGAAATACAGGAAGTTGATTATGATAAAGACTGTGGTGTGTCTATTGATGCTCCCATGTCCCACTCTCACCAGTGTGGGGAAGCAATTAAAAAGGCCTATCAAGCTTGTCTGGGGAGAATTCAACTAATAGTTTTAAAGCTATTCAAACCTTATCTAAGTCTGATTTAAAGGAACTCAGGGTTTTAGCTTGCACTACACTAACAGGAAGACTATTCCATACTCCAACTACACACTGTGTAAAGAAGTGCTTTTTCAAATCCAGTTTTAAATGTTCTCCTGTAGGGATGGGTATTTTTGATCATATTTCATTTCGAGTAATCCACAGGTTTGAGAAACGAGTACTCGATTAATCGGGGTGGAATTTAAGCAAGGGGCGGGGCGTTTGCGTCACAGTATACAGTAAACATTTAAAAGATATAACAGCATGAGGCGAAGCTGAAGCGCTTTTTCTACATGACGCATTGTATATCAAATTAATCACATAGCCTAGATACATACAATTTGTAATATAACATTTACATATTTATTTATTTAGACAAAATGCATGTGAGCTTGAACTACGTGCCAATCAAAGTAGTGGATGCGCTTCTCCCGTTACTTTAAAACAACGGCAANGTAACATAACTTTTCTTTCAAAATGATCAGTCGGTAAAGGTAAATTTAAAGCCGGCATAATTTAACTATGCTACTTAAACTTAAAACAAAAACAGCCTGAATAGTTTACCAAGCATGGCTAAGAAAAATTAACATAAGGACGACACATTTTTATTCAAAAAGATCAGTCGGTCCACGTGCTCAGATGAAAGCCGAATGCGGAGTCTATTTACAATTAGATCAGCGGTGGAAAAAACGCGCTCAGCAGGCACAGAAGTTGCAGGAACAGCCAGGTACCACTGGGCAAGGGTGCTTAGCTTTGCAAATCGAGACTCCTTTACTTTCCACCACAATAAAGGACCCTGGTTTACAGAGATGCATGGCTCCCTAAAGTAGCTTTCGATTTCGGTGTCATGCGGAGAAACATCACTCATGCCGTAGTCCTCGCCAAAAAGAGTGTGGAGCGCCGTTGCTGAGTCGAGCTTACTTTGTATGGGTCTGACAGGATTTGGGATTGTCTCGCAAAGCTGCTTCAGATTCTCTTTTACTCTCTCCCGAAGGTCTGTCTCAAGAAACTTGAGATGTTTGCGTCTTGGATCCAAAGCCGCTGCAATCAGAGGCAGATACACTTTCTCACGACTATGCGCCGTTTCAGAGATTCGGCTACGGCATTTTTAAATTCAGACACTCTTGGAGACTCACTCCTCTGTGTGTTTAAATGTCTAGTGATGAGACTGTGTGTGATCGGATAGACCATTGAACTGGAAACATGAGTCTCACTACATTGTAGTTGTGGCACACTTAATTTAAGAGACTTGAGAACAGGTGTCAGTTCTTCCACAGTCTCCCAGTGCTCATCTTTTAGGTCAAGTGTCCCCGCATCTGCAAGTTTTGTAACATTGCGATCGGACAGAACAGCACACACAGCCCACCTCTGTTCCAAAAGGCGTTCGAACATGTCACACCCCGAATCCCACCGCGTGCGACAATGCTGAATAAGCTTATGGTCGGGTATATTTTGTTCTTGTTGTTTCTGCCTTAGCGCGGCTGTAGCTACTGTGCTGTGGTGAAAATGTGATACCAAGCGGCTACTTGCAGCTATTACATTTTTTACAGTTGCAACATTGAAGCCCTCATTGATTGCAAGCTGCAGGGTGTGTGCGAAACAGGGCACTGATTCCCAAAGACTTTGATTTACCAGAACCATGTTAGCAGCGTTGTCGTGCACACATGCCATTACTTTTTCAGAGCTTAACAGCCACTTTTCTGTTGCATCTTTCAGGTAGTTGCCAATGTTCACAGTTGTGTGTCTTTCCTCGAAACCTCGCGTCTCTAATACTGCACTGTGAATTTTCCATTTTATGTAATGACAGGTTAGCGTCATATACGATTCGGTGGTTAGCGAAGTCCACGAGTCCGTAGTTATTGCCACCCGCGCTGGCTTCGACAGACTGTCTTTTAGTGAACAAGCGCATTTTTCGTATAGAGCATCAATCCTTGTAGTGACCGTTTTGCGCGATGGGACAGTATAGTGGGGTTCAACGTAATTCATTAAACGTTTAAAACCTTCACCTTCAACAAACAGGGTTCCTGCGGGGTCTTAAAAAGTCTAAAATTCTGAAAGTTAAATTTA